TGTGCAGACAACGCCCAGTACCAGCCCAGAGCCTGGTAGACTTGCTGGGTGACTAGATCTAGAAGAGAGACAACAATCACTACAGCTTGGCTTTCAGGAAGCCACATACATAGGAAAAGGGGGGTATTACTACATACAAGGGAACACCCCATGGGACAAAATAATCTGAACAACAGTCTTTAGCCCTAGACCTTCCCTCTAACAGCCTACCCAAATGAGAAGGAACCAGAAAACCAACTCTGGTAATTTGACAAAACAAGGTTCTTTAACACCCCCAAAAAATCACACTAGCTCACCAGCAATGGACCGAAACCAAGAAGAAATCCCTGATTTACCTGAAAAAGAATCCAGGAGGTTAGTTATTAAGATAATCAGGGAGGCACCAGAGAAAGGCAAAGCCCAATGCAAGGAAATCCAAAAAATGATACAAAAAGTGAAGGGATAAATATTCAAGGAAATAGATAAAGAAAAAAACAATCAAAACTTGGGTAAGCAATGGACACACTTATAGAAATGCAAAATGCTCTGGGAAGTCTCAGCAATAGAATTGAACAAGTAGAAGAAAGAAATTTAGAGCTCAAAGACAAGGTCTTTGAATTCACCCAGTCCAACAAAGAAGAAGAAAAAAATATGAACAAGGCCTCCGAGAAGTCTAGGATTATGTTAAATGACCAAACCTAAGAATAATTGGAGTTCCTGAGGAAGAAGAGAAATCTAAAATTTTGGAGAACATATTTGGGGGAATAATCAAGGAAAACTTTCCCAGCCTTGCTAGAGACTTAGGCAGCCAAGTACAAGAAGCACAAAGAACACCTTGGAAATTCATCGCAAAAAGATCATCACCTACGCACACTGTCATCATGTTATCTACAGTTAGGATGAAGGAAAGAATCTTTAAAGCTGTGAAACAAAAGCACCAGGTAACCTATAAAGGAGAACCTATCAGATTAACAGCAGATTTCTCAGCAGAAACCCTACAAGTTAGAAGGGATTGGGGCCCTATCTTCAGCCTCCTCAAACAAAACAATTATTAGCCAAGAACTGTGTATCCAGTGAAACTAAGCTTCATATATGAAGGAAAGATGCAGTCTTTTTCAGACAAACAAATGCTGAGAGAATTTGCCACTACCAAGCCACCACTACAAGAATGCTAAAAGGAGCTCTAAATCTTGAAACAAATCCTGGAAACACATCAAAACAACCTCTTTAAAGCACAAATCTCACAGGACCTATAAAACAAAAATACAATTTAAAAAATAAAAACAAAACAACTAAGGTATACAGGCAACAAATAGCACTATCAATGGAATAGTACCTCACATTTCAATACTAACATTGAATGTAAATGGTCTAAATGCTCTACTTAAAATATACAGAATTGCAGAATGGATAAGAATTCACCAGCCAAACATCTGCTGCCCTCAAGAGACCCACCTAACACATAAGGACTTGAACAAACTTAAGGTAAAAGGGTTGTAAAAGACATTTCATGCAAATGGACATCAAAAGCAAGCAGGAGTAGCTATTCTTATATCAGACAAAACAAACTTTAAAGCAACAGCAGTTAAAAAAGACAAAGAGGGACATTATATAATGATAAAAGGCCTTGTCCAACAGGAAAATATCATAATCCTAAACATACATGTACCTAACACTTGGAGCTTCCAAATTTATAAAACAATTACTAATTAATATGGTTTGGCTATATCCTCCACCCAAATCTCATCTTTAATTATACTCCCATAACTCCCACATGTTGTGGGAGGGACCTGGTGGGAGATAATTTGAATCATGGGGTAGTTCCACCATAATGTTCTCATGGTAGTGAACAAGTCTCACAAGATCTGATGATTTTATCAGCGGTTTCCACTTTTGCATCTTCCTCATTTTCTCTTGCTGCTGCCATGTAATAAGTGCCTTTCACTTCCCACCATGATTCTGAGGCCTCCCCAGCCATGTGGAACTGTCAGTGCCAGTAAACCTCATTTTCTTCCCAGTCTCGGGTATGTCTTTATCACCACTGTGAAGATGGACTAATACAGTAAATTGGCACCGGTAGTGTGGGGTGCTGCTGAAAAGATACCCAGAAATATGGAAGCAACTTTGGAACTGGGTAATAGGCAGCTGTTGGAACAGTTTGAAGGGCTCAGAAGAAGACAGGAAAATGTGGGGAATTTTGGAACTTCCTAGAAACTTGTTTCATGGCTTTCACCAAAAACCTGATACCAATATGGACAATAAGGTCCAGGCTGAGGTGGTCTCAGATAAAAATGAGAAACTTGTTGGGAACTGGAGCAAAGGTGACTCTTGTTATGTTTTAGCAAAGAGACTGGCAGCAATTTGCCCCTGCCCTAGAGATTTGTGGAAATTTGAACTTGAGAGAGATGATTTAGGGTATCTGGTGGAAAAATTTCTAAGCAGCAAAGCATTCCAAGAGGTGACCTGGAGGCCGGGCGCAGTGGCTTATGCCTGTAATCCCAGCACTTTGGAAGAGGTGACCTGGAGGCTGGGCACAGTGACTTGCTCCTGTAATCCCAGCACTTTGGAGAGGCTGAGACGGGCGGACCACAAGGTCAGGGGTTTGAGACCAGCTTGGCCAATATGGTGGTCTCAGATATGGTGAAACCCTGTCTCTAATAAAAATACAAAGCTGGGCGTGGTGGCACGTGCCTGTAGTCCCAGCTACTTGGGAGGCTGAGACAGGAGAATCACTTGAACCCAGGAGGCAGAGGTTGCAGTGATCCAAGATCATGCCATTGCAATCCAGCCCGGGTGACAGAGCAAGACTCTGTCTCAAAAAAAAAAAAAAAAAAAAAAAAAAAAAAAGAGGTGACGGGTGCTGTTAAAGGCATTCCACTTTATAAAGGAAGAAGAGCATAAAAGTTTGGAAAATTTGCAGCTTGACAATGTGATAGAAAAGAAAAACCCATTTTCGAGGAGAAATTCAAGCTTGCTGCAGAAATTTGCATAAGTAAGGAGAAGCCAAATGTTAATCCCCAAGACAATGGGGAAAATGTCTCCAGGCCATGTCAGAGGTCTTCAGAACAGCCCCTCCCATCCCAGCCCCTCCCCTCCCTTCATCCCAGTCCCTCCCCTCCCTTCATCCCAGCCCCTCCCCTTCACAGGCCCAGAGGCCTAGGAGAAAATGGTTTCCTGGCCCAAGCCCAGGGTCCCCATGCTGTGTGTAGCCTAGGGACTTGGTGCCCTGTGTTAGCTGCTCCAGCCATGGCTGAAAGGAGCCAATGTAGAGCTCAAGCCATGACTTCAGAAGTGCAAGCCCCAAGCTTTGGCAGCTTCCACGTGGTGTTGAGCCTGCAAGTACAGAAAAGTCAAGAATCGGGGTATGGGAACCTCCAGCTAGATTTCAGAAGATGTATGGAAACACCTGAATGCCCACACAGAAGTTTGCTGCAGGGGTGGGGCACTCATAGATAACTTCTGCTAGAGAAGTGCAGAAGAGAAATGGGGGGTCAGAGCTGCCACAGAGTCCCTACTGGGGTACTGCGTAGTGGAGCTGTGAGAAGAGGGCCACTGTCCTCCAGACTCCAGAATGGTAGATCCACCGACAGCTTGCACTGTTTGCCTGGAAAAGACACAGACACTCAATGCCAGCCCATGAACGCAGCTGGGAGGGAGGCTGTACCCTGCAAAACCACAGAGGTGGAGCTGCCCAAGACCATGGGAACCCACCTCTTGCATCAGCATGACCTGGATGTGAGAGCTGGAGTCAAAGGAGATCATTTTGGAGCTTTAAAATTTGACTGCCCTGCTGGATTTCAGACTTGCATTGGCCCTGTAACCCCTTTGTTTTGGTCAGTTTCTCCCATTTGGAATGGCTGTGTTTATCCAATACCTGTACCCCATTGTATCTAGGAAGTAACTAGCTTGCTTTTGATTTTATAGGCTCATAGGTGGAATGGACTTGCCTTGTCTCAGATGAGACTTTGGACTGTGGACTTTTGGGTTAATGCTGAAATGAGATAAGCCTTTGGGGGATTGTTGGGAAGGCATGATTGGTTTTGAAATGTGAGGACATGAGATTTGGAGGGCCTCGGGTGGGATGATATAGTTTGGATCTGTGTCCCCACCCAAATCTCATCCTGAATTGTACTCCCATAATTCCTGTGTGTTGTGGGAGGGGCCCAGTGGGAGATAATTTGAATCATGGGGGCGGTTTCCCCATACTGTTCTTGTGGTAGTGAATAAGTCTCACAAGATCTAATGGTTTTATCGGGGGTTTTCGCTTTTGCATCTTCCTCATTTTCTCTTGCACCACCATGTAAGAAGTGCCTTTCGCCTCCACCACGATTCTGAGGCCTCCCCAGCCATGAGGATCTGTGAGTCCAATTAAACCTCTTTATCTTCCCAGTCTTGGGTATGTCTTTATCAGCAGCGTGAAAACAGCCTAATACTAATAGACCTAAGAAATAAGATAGACAGCAACACAGTAATAGTGGGGGACTTCAGTACTCCACTGACAGCACTAGACGGGTCATCAAGACAGAAAGTCAAGAAAGAAACAATGGATTTAAACTATACCCTGAAACAAATGGATTTAACAAATATATATGGAACATTCCATCCAATAGCCACAGAATACACAGCACATGGAACTTTCTCCAAGATAGAGCATATGGGAGGCCACAAAACGAGCCTCAATAAATTTAAGAAAATTGAAATTATATCAAGCACTCTCGCAGACCACAGTTAAATAAAACAGGAAATCAATTCCAGAAGGAACCTTCAAAACCACACAAATACATGGAAATTCAATAACCTGCTCTTGAATGATCATTGAGTTAAAAATGAAATCAAGATGAAAATTAAATAATTCTTCGAACTGAATGACAATAGTGACACAACCTGTCAAAACCTCTGGACACAGCAAAAGTGATGCTAAGAGGAAAGTTCATAGCCCTAAACGCCTACAGCAAAAAGTCTGAAAGAGCACAGACAATCTAAGGTCATACCTCAAGGAACTAGAGAAACAAGAACAAACCCAAACCCAGCAGAAGAAAGGAAATAACCAAGATCAGAGCAGAACTAAATCAAGTTGAAACAAAATAAACTGTACAAAAGATAAATGAGCCCCTACCTCCCACCCGCCATGGCCACACCCTGCGTGCTCTGGTGGCCGCTGAGCCTGTGTCCGGGAAGGCCAAACTGACACACCTGGGGGAGACGATCCTGGCAGTTGGCCTGGCGGGCGGCATTGACATCTGCATCACCTTCCCCACCAATACGTGAAGACACAGCTGCATCTGGATGAACACTCGCACCTGCCACAGTACCGGGACACTGGGGACTGCGTGCAGCAGATGGTCCACAGCCATGGTGTCCTGGGCCTATACTGTGGCCTCAACTCCCACCTCTGCAGCTCCATCCCCAAGGCAGCCGTCAGGTTTGGAATGTTTGCGTTCCTCAGCAACCACATGCAGGATGCCCAGGGACAGCTGGACAGCACGCACGAGCTGCTCTGTGGCCCAGGAGCCAGCATGGCAGGGGCCATGGTAGTCGTGTGCCCCATGGAGACCATCAAGGTGAAGTTCAACCACAACCAGACCTCCCCAAACCCCAAGTACACAGGATTCTTCCATGCGGTTAGGGAGATTGTGTGGGAACAAGGGCTGAAGGGAACGTACCAGGGCCTCATAGCCACCATGCTGAAGCAGGGCTCAAACCAGGCTATCTGCTTCTTTGTCATGATCTCCCTGTGCAACTGGTACTGAGGGAACAACCTCAACAAGCCCATGAACCTGCTGATCACTGGGGTCTTCAGAGCTATTGTGGGTGCAGCCAGTGACTTTGGAAACACTCCTCTGGACGTGATTAAGACCCAAATGCAGGGCCTGGAGGTGCACAAATACTGGAACACATGGGACTGTGGCTTGCAGATCCTGAGGAAGGAGGGCTCAAGGCACTCTACAAGGGCACTGTTCCTGCCTGGGCTGGGTTGTCCTGAATGTGGCCATAGTGTTTATCATCTGTGATGAGGTGGTAAAACTGCTCAACAAAGTGTGGAAGACATACTAAGCCTAGAGGCCCTCAAAGGAACCACCCCAGGCACCTCCAGAGTGCCCCACCACCCTTGTCTCACATGATTTCAGTGCAGTAGTGCCAAAAGGCCCCTTGCCATGTCCCTCAAGCTCTGTGGCCTGGTCTCTGCATTGTGGCCGTCAAATCCATGTGTTCCATAGTGCCGTGTCCTCCCTGTGGTCTCTGTGTGACACCACCACTGTGTCCCAATGTCTGGCCCAGCCATGGCTGGGTGTGCATCTGGCCTGTGACCCTGTGCCCACTTGTCCATGTGCTTACTGTGAGCCCTGTGCCTGTGTTTCATGTTCTGTGTCATGTGACCATGTGGCCTAGGTCCTCAGCCCTATATCACTGGCCTGGTCCCAGTGCACTGCCTTTCACCCTGCCCCAGCATACCACAACTGCCTCCAGGCCTCGACCTGGCTTCACCGTATTCCAGGGGCTGCAGCCCCCGACTTCTGCCACCATTGGCCTTAACTGGCCCTTGGGGCCTCCCTCAGCCCAGGACAGGGTGGCATCTGCCACTCTCAGGACCACCCTGCCAAGGCAGAATAAACCAGATTGTGTTGCAAAAAAATAAATAAATAAATGAAACAAAAAGCTGGTTGTTTGAAAAGATAAATAAAATTGATAGACCATTAGCAAGAAGAGAGAAAATCCAAATAAGTTCAGTAAGAAACAAAACGGGAGATATTACAGCTGACACCACAGAAATACAAAAGATCATTCAAGGCTACTATGAACACCTTTATATACATAAACTAGAAAACCTAGAAGAGATGGATAAATTCCTGGGTAGATACAACCCTCCAAGCTTAAATCAGGAAGAATTAGGTACCCTGAACAGACCAGTAACAAGCAGCAAGATTAAAATGGTAATTTAAAAATTACCAGCCAAAAAAAGTCCACGACCAGATGGATTCACAGCAGAATTCTACCAGACATTCAGAATTGGTGCGAATCCTATTGACACTACTCCACAAGATAGAAAAAGAGGGAACCCTCCCTAATTCATTCTGTGAAGCCAAAATCATCCTAATACAAAAACCAGGAAAGGATATAACTAAAAAAGAAAACTACAGACCAACCAGTATCCCTGATGAACATAAATGCTAAAATTCTTAACAAAGCACTAGCTAACCAAATCCAACAACATATCAAAAAGATAGTCCACCATGATCAAGTAGGTTTCATAACAGCAATGCAGGGATGGTTTAACATATGTGAGTCAATAAATGTGATACGCCACATAAACAGAATTAACAAAAATCACATGATCATCTCAATAGATGCAGGAAAAGCATTCGACAAATCTAGTATCTTTTTATGATTAAAACTCCCAGCAAAATTGGCATACAAGAGATGTATGTAATAAAAGCCATCTATGACAAGCCCACAGCCAACATAATACTGAATAGGGAAAAGTTGAAAACATTCCCGCTGAGAACTGAAACAAGAAAAGGATGCCCACTCTCACCACTTCTCTTCAACATAGCACTGGAAGTCCTAGGCAGAGCAATCAGACAAGAGAAAGAAAGAAAGGGCATCCATATCAGTAAAGAGGAAGTCAGACTGTCACTGTTTACTGACTATAGGATCATTTACCTCAAAACCCCTAAAGATTCCTCCAGAAAGCTCCTACAACTGAAAAATAATTCAGCAAAGTTTCCAGGTACAAAATTAATGTACACAAATCAGTAGCTCTTCTGTACACCAACAGCGACCAAGTTGAGAATCAAATCAAGTACTCAACCTCTTTTACAATAGCTGCAAAATAAAATAAAATACTTAGGAATATACCTAACAAGGAGGTGAAAGACAAGGAAAACTACAAAGCACTGCTGAAAGAAATCATTGACGACACAAATGGAAACACATCCCATGCTGATGGATGGGTAGAGTCAATATTGTGAAAATGAGCATACTGCCAAAAGCAATCTACAAATACCCAATGCAATTCCCATCAAAATACCACCATCATTCTTCACAGAATTAGAAAAAACAATTCTAAAATTCATATGGAACCAAAAAAGAGCCCACATATCCAAGCAAGACTTAAGCAAAAAGAACAAATCTGGAGGCATTACATTACCTAATTTCAAACTATACTATAAGGCCATAGTCACCAAAACAGCATGGTACTGGTATAAAAATAGGGACATAGACCAATGGAACAGAATAGGGAACCCAGAAATAAATCCAAATACTTAGAGCCAACTGATCTTTGACAAAGCAAACAAAAACATAAAGTGGGGAAAGGACACCCTTTTCAACATATGGTGCTGGGATAATTGGCTAGCCACATGTAGGAGAATGAAACCAGATCCTCATCTCTCACCTTATACAAAAATCAACTGAAAATGGATTAAGGACTTAAATCTAAGACCTGAAACTATAAAAATTTTAGAAGATAACATTCGAAAACCCCTTCTAGACATTGGCTTAGGCAGGAAGTTCATGACTAAGAACCAAAAGCCAATGCAATAAAAATAAAGATAAATTGCTGGGACTTCTTAAACTAACAAGCTTTTGCATGGCAAAAGGAACAGTCAGCAGAGTAAACAGACAACCCACAGAGTGGGAAAAAATCTTCACAATCTGTACATCTGACAGAGGACTAATATCCAAAATCCACAGTGAACTCAAATCAAAAAGAAAAAAGCAAACAATACCATCAAAAAGTGGGCTAAGGACATAAATACACAATTCTCAAAAGAAGATTTATAAATAGGCAACAAATACATGAAAAAATGTTCAGCGTCACTAATGATCAGGGAAATGCAAATCAAAACTACAGTGCGATACCACCTTACTCCTGCAAGAATGGCCATAATCAAAAAATAGTAGATGTTGGCATGGATGTAGTGAACAGGGAACACTTCTACACTGCTGGTGGGAATGTAAACTAGTACAATCACTATGGAAAACAGTGTGGAGATTCCTTAAAGAACTATAAGTAGAACTACCATTTAATCCAGCAATCCCACTACTGGATATCTACCCAGAGGAATAGAAGTCATTATACAAGAAAGATACTGGCACACACATGTTTATAGCAACACAGTTCAAAGTTGCAAAAACGTGGAACCAACCCAAATGCCCATCAATCAATGAGCGAATAAAGAAACTGTGATATAGGGCCAGGCGCCGTGACTCACGCCTGTAATCCCAGCACTTGGGAGGCCGAGGCAGGTGGATCACGAGGTCAGGAGATCAAGACCATCCTGGCTAATATGGTGAAACCCCATCTCTACTAAAAATACAAAAAATTAGCCAGGCATGGTGGCACACACCTGTAGTCCCAGCTACTCAGGAGGCCGAGGCAGGAGAATCGCTTGAACCCAGGAGGTGGAGGTTGCCATGAGCCAAGATCACGCCACTGCACTCCAGCCTGGTGTCAGAGCAAGACTCTATCTTTAAAAAAAAAAAAAAAAAAAAGAAACTGATATATATATATATAATGGAATACTACTCAGCCATAAAATGGAATTAATGGCATTTGCAGAGACCTGGATGAGATTGGAGACTATTACTCTGAGTGGAGTAACTCAGGAATGGAAAACTAGACATAATTTCTCACTTATAAGTGGGAGCGGGAGCTAAGCTATGAGGATGCAAAGGCATAAGAATAACACAATGGACTTTGGAGACTCAGGGGTAAAGGGTGGGAAGAGGATGAGGGATAAAAGATTGTACAAATACAGTGCAGCGTATACTGCTTGGGTAATGGTTGCACCAAAATATTGTAAATCACCACTAAAGAACTTATGTAACCAAACACCACCTGTTCCCCAATAGCCTATAGAAATAATAAAAAAAAAAATTATTAAACATGTCTCAGAGAGCTACCCCATAGTCAAATTGTCAGAAGCCAAGAACAAAGAGAAAACCTTGAAAATAGCAAGAGAAAAATGATTCATCATATAAATGAGATCCTCAACATGACTACTGGCTTACTTATGATCAGAAACAAGACCAGAAGGCAGTGGGATGACATTCAAAGTACTAAAAGAAAACAAAAAACAAGAACAACAAAGAACACCAGTCAACAGAGAATTTTATATCCAACATATTCTCTCTCAAAGTACAGGTGAAAAAAGACAAATGCAGGTAAAGACTGAAAGCATGTGTTGCTAGCAGACTTTCCTAATACTAAAGTTCTTTAGGCTGAAAAGTGACACCAGATTGTAGCTTGAATGCACACAAAGAAATAATGAGCACTGATTTAAGGTCATCACATAGGTAAATAAAAGATAATATACACATTTACACTTTTATTTTAACTGATTAAAGATAACTGCATAAAGCCATTTAAAAAAAGAGACCTGGTAGGAGGTAATTAGATCATGGGGCCAGTTCCCCCATGCTGGTCTCGTGATAGTGAGTTCTCACAAGATCTGGTCATTTTATAAGGGGCTCTTCCCCCTTCGCTCGCCACTCACTCTCTCATCTACCACCATGTAAGACACGCTTCTTCCCCTTCCACCATGATTGTAAGTTACTTGAGACCTCCCCAGTCCTGCAGAACTGTGAGTCAATTACGGAACTGTGAGTCAATTAAACCTCTTTATAAATTAACAAGTCTCAGGTATGTCTTTATAGCAGTGTGAAAATGGATTAACAAGTATCTCCATATCTAACAAGTATCTCATAAGAAACATGTTTAAAAACTGAACTGTTGGTTCTCTTCCCCAATGTTTAACATCCCAGTAAATGGCATCATTTTCCTCCAAATTGCTTAAGCCAATAATATTGGATCATCTATGACACCTCTCTTTCTTTAAAAAAAAAATTTTTTTAATACAAACAGGGTCTCACTGTCACCCAGGCTGTAATGCAGTGGTGTGATCACAGCTCGCTGCAGCCTTGAACTCCTGGGCTCAAGTGATCCTCCCACCTCAGCCTTCTGAGTAGCTGGGACCACAGGTGCATGCCATCGCTTCTGGCTAATTTAAAAAAAAAAATTTCTAGAGACAGGATCTCGCTATGTTGCCCGAGCTGGTCTCGAACTCCTGGCCTCAAGTGATCCTCTTGCCTCCCAAGGTACTGGGATTACAGATGTGAGCCACCATGCCCAGCCCTCCTCTATTTCATTGGATATGATTTTATACTTTTGTGTTTTGTCTTTGCTAATTTTCTTTCACTGACATCCAGTCATGTCAGCTCTTTCTTCCAGTGTGTTCTGAATCTAACTAATTCTCATCTTCTCCAATAATATTACTCTCTTCAAAGATTTCAGTTCATCACTATCTTTTGTCTTTTTTGTTTGTGTTTATTTTATATTGATATAAGAGGGTGCTGGATTCATTTCCAACACCCCCAGAAGACTCACTTATTCTTCCTTTTGGTTGAAACCCCACCTGCCCAACCCCACCTGCCCAACCCACCTGCCCAACCCCTCAAACTATCACTACAGATTAGTTTTTCTGTTTTCAGACTTCATATAAAGATAATTATAAAATACATACTCTGGCTTCTTTTGTCTAACATCATTTCTGTGAGATTCATGTTGCTGCATACAATAATTGTTCTTTTTAATTTCTCTGTAATATTCCTGTTTATGAATATACCACATTTTAAAAATCTGTTGGGCCTTTAGGTTGTTTCTAGTTTTGCCTCTTATGAAAAATGCAATGGTGAATATTCTAGCACATGGCTTTTGGTGGTCATATCACTCACTTCTCTTGGGTATATACTGAGATGTGGAATTGTTGGGTCATAGGATATACAGCTAAGCAATTTGTCAAAATGATTTACGTTCCCACCAGCAATGTTGAATTCTA